AATTTCGATGAAGATAAGTTGAGTTATGGACTTTAGAACTTCAGCCTTTGAACATTTTTGAATTTTTACATCAGAAAAATTACAAAAAAATTTAAAAAAAAAATAAAATTCTAAATTTGAATGCAGATTTTTAGAGAATTGCTCCCGAAACATTTAGACGTATGCCACTTCAAATTTCGATGAAGATAAGTTGAGTTATGGACTTTAGAACTTCAGCCTTTGGACATTTTTGAATTTCTACAACATGATCCCATCAGAAAAATTACAAAAAAATTTAAAAAAAATAAAATTCTAAATTTGAATGCAGATTTTTAGAGAATTTCTCCAGAATCATTTAGAGGTATGCCACTTAAAATTCTGAGTAAGATAAGTTGAGTTATTGACTTTAGAACTTCAGCTTTTGAACATTTTTGAATTTCTACATCAGAAAAATTACAAAAAAATTAAAAAAAAAATAAAATTCTAAATTTGAATGCAGATTTTTAGAGAATTGCTCCCGAAACATTTAGACGTATGCCACTTCAAATTTCGATGAAGATAAGTTGAGTTATGGACTTTAGAACTTCAGCCTTTGAACATTTTTGAATTTTTACATCAGAAAAATTACAAAAAAATTTAAAAAAAAATAAAATTCTAAATTTGAATGCAGATTTTTAGAGAATTGCTCCAGGAACATTTGGAGGTATGCCACTTCAAATTTTGATTAAGATAAGTTGAGTTATGGACTTTAGAACTCAGTCTTAGGACATTGATCAGAACAGTATTATAATTAACTGAACAAAATTCTCAGACACATTTCCAATTTCGAATGACACCCACCTATTCATATTTATAGGTCTTGGCTTACAATCTCTATTCTTAACCCACATAACCGAGCTTAAAGCAAGCTTATGTGACTTTTGTCACGCATTTGTGAATAAATTGCTAGTTTCCTTTTCGCTAACTTGCGAGGCACTGGCCCAGCTTTTTAAATATGAAAGTCTGAATAAGCTAAAAACAAATTACGGTTCGTTGTCAACAAACTGACTGAAACTGCGCAAGCATCTGATGATGACGATGGTGATGGCGATTGAGGAGATACCGCGGACTGATTACACATCGCGTGTCCCCCTGGCGGCGAAAAGTTTTGGATGGGCTCCAAGATCTATGTAAATATGTGCTCCAAGGCTTCATTGGGTGCTTATATAGGGTATTTATAGAGCCCAGTAGCCCTATGAGATGGCACGATGCTGGAGCGTGAGCCCATAGAAAGCCTTCCAAGCAAGGGTTCAATCTGGGTTCACGATCAGCTATTTTTCGCAAGCTAGGAAATACTCAGGGCGACACTTTTTGGTACGGGTAAAAAAAATTCCACGCTGATAGCTGATAGAAATTTGAAATGAATCGCAAATGGTGGAAAGCAAGTAATAACAAGCAAACGAGCCTGAGAAGTCTTTCCTTATGCCCGGCCAGAAATCGCAAGAAAATAAAATCGCATTATTAAAAGTCCACTTGGCACACCAAATGTTTCGCTAATGAGGGGCATAAATCCATAGCCACCTATCGCTATATCGCATATACTCGTATAGGGAGCCATAGCCAGAAATCCAAATCGGCTTACCCTCCAAATGCACGGCAAACATCATTTGGCCACTAATTAAGAAAGGGGCAGGGAATTGGAGGAGCCGGAGACAAAGTCTAAGCCTGATTGACATGCATACACTGCAACAAATTGGGGGGCAGGGGCGCGGGCTGGCATGACGTTAGACAATGGTGAATGGATCAATGAATGAATAAGTTGATTTCGAAGGAGGCTACTTGGCATTTCGGTCTGCTCCCAACGGGATGGGATGGCTGCTTCCACGACGATCGTGTCGATGGCAACGTAGACCACAGTTGAATGAATTATAGATGCGGGATGATCTTATATAGTTCAAAGTCTGGGTGCCCGAAACGCTTGCGGCATCAAAATTAAACGAGCCGTGGTTCATAAAACGATAATGGTCAAAATCGGGGGTTTTCATCATCAAGTGTTTATAACCAGTAGTAAAACATGGAAGTTTTTTTTATAGTGTTGTACACCTTTTAAATATTGTTTGCTATTTCCTTTGCTCTCATCATCTACACAGAAATTACATAGATTTGGCAGTATTGATAATATTAATTATATTCCAGAAATAGATTAATTGGACAGAAAGCTCAATTTCTCTGTGTGCTTTCCCCAATCGAATTACCCATTCATAGTTAATATGAATAATAACACAGTGCGAATTGTTGGTACTTTCCGCCCAAAGTTGCCTCCCCTCAGATGCGTCACTTACTCTCCATTCAAAGCTGCCGAAAAACCAGCCGGAAACAGCGAAAGAAGGCGACGAAAATGTTGAGTACCGAAATCAGAATGCGCGGCATGCGGCACATGACAGTACTTCGAAATAAATCCAAATTTTCCTATAGCGAAAGGTGTGTTCTGGAGGGTAGGCGAGTGCGTAATCGATTTGCATATGAATACCACTATGCTTTTGGTCATTTCATTGTGCTCGGCAACCGGCAAGTTGAATAAACTGCAAGAAGCAGCAGTAAAGTGGAGACGTGGAAAGCGAAGATGATCCACGCGAGGAACCCCAGGTCCCAGAGGTAGTTGCACCCACGATCCAACCTTCAACTGGTCGCGAGCACAGCTATCAATGGCCCAACCTTCGGAGATTAACGCTGGAAAAGCAAGGAAAACAATACTGGATCACACAGCTGCATCTAGTGGCGGCTTTATCGACATGCCATTATAGGCAAACTTGACCAATATTCTTTATCGTTCACGGAAAAAAACTGCGAGAACCAATGTCTATTCAAATGTCTTTCAATTTCAAATTATATATTCTGCACAATATAATCTAGTATTATTCGCAGTAAGATCCTTGTTTAATTTTTTAATAAAGTGTTTAATATGGTATTTGGTTTTTATATGTATGTATGTACATTTAAAAAAAAATAGAATTGCTCATTAAGAAAACCTCGGTTAAATCCAATCAGCATGATTAGCAAGAAATCCATCAATCGTATGTCAATTGAGCAGATTGAGGAAAAACAAGAAAATGACCAACGAGCAACCCCATCAGGGGTGAGAGGGCAGGAAAAGGCTATAGGAAAGCAATGGTGGGTTAGAGGGAAAACTTGATGTACGCCGTAAACAAAAACAGAGAACCAAAATGTGGAAATTGTAAGCGGCACAAATGTGATATTTACGCAGTAACACAGACTGGTATTTTTCCAACCATAACTACGCATCACAGGATTCAAAACTCCTCGCACACAGTTTACAACTAAAGATTTGATAAACTGACTTCCTAGTTGCTGAGCACTTTTCACAATAACTTTCAAACTTACAGTATAAGCTGGCACTTTCAGACGGAAAACGCTCTCATTAAAATAGGAATTTTATTCGAGCGCTGTTTGCTGCGGCTGCAACTGCAGTAGAAAAACAACTGACTACGTAAAGGGAAATGAAAACAAAACGCTTAATAGCTGCGGAAAAGAGAAAGGGAGGTAAATTGCTTTAAGAGGGTTGAAAATGCATTCTCTGTTGCTTCCGGTTTGGCGCCAAATGTAAAGCATTTCGAATTCAAATGACAGCAAGCTGTAAATTAGAACAGAGCTGCTATGCTCAGACATTCTGTTATCCGAGAACAGCTGAGCTCGAACGCTGTTCAACACTGGAATTGCACGCTGTTTTTGTTTTCATTTGATTGAATTGATGACTTCTTAAAAACATCATGAAAATATCTCGTTTCAAGAAGTCTCACAAAACTCTGGTGTTTTTTGCCAGCAATTTCGACTACCGGGAACCCTACCAAGTGCTAATTGATGCCACATTTTGCCAGGCAGCCCTGCAGGTGGGTTTTTGCTTATATCGATTGCACTTGTTGATTTCCATACTTATTTTTGATTTTTTAGCAAAAAATTGGCATAGATGAGCAGATAAAGAAGTACTTCCAGTGCGGCGTTAAGCTACTGACCACCCAGTGTGTTATCCTGGAAGCGGAATCCCTGGGAGCTCCTCTCACTGGAGCCACGTCCATCGTCAAGCGATTCCATGTCCACAAATGCGGACACGAGGGAAAACCAGTGCCCGCTTCCGAATGCATCAAATCGATGGTAAATTGGGAACTGCATGATTTCAATTACGCTCCAGTTATCAATATATTACTTACCCTTCAGACCAGAGACAATCGCTATGTGGTTGCCTCGCAGGATCGTCTGCTGCAGGAGAGTCTTCGCAAGATTCCCGGACGTTGTCTACTCTATCTGCACAAAGCCACTCCCGTTTTGGAGGCCCCATCTAAGGCCTCCAAGAAGTGGGTGCAACGACGGGCCAAGAACCTAATGCTGGGCAAACAGGTCGAGAAAATCGACTACATGAAGGAGAAGCAGGGACTGAAGCCAGCCGAAAGTGCAGTCAAACCCAAGAAGCACAAAGGTCCCAAGAACCCCAACCCCTTATCCTGCAAGAAGAGCAAAAAGGAAAAGGCGAAGCCACAGCACAAAGGAGTGGAGCAGACCGCAATAGCCAAGGCGAAACGAAAACGGGTCAAGATTCCCGCGCACGTCAAGGCAGCGTTAGGAAAAGATTAGATTAGGATTCGTTTATCAAGTAGATAAATATAAGATAATGCAAGCTGATCTGCAGTCTTGACAAATCATTATAATGTAAATGTGGGAGGAGTTGCCTTAACTAGCCATTTAATATGCCTTCTTCTGTAATGGCAGGAAAATGTTTGCAGCTGAACCAGTTCCGATGATGATAAATTGCTAGATTCCTGGATAATACGTTGCTAGTGGCTTAGTAAACTGGAATATTTTAAATCTTGTAACTCACAAATTACTTGGCTGCTTTCTGCATTTTTAACGTAAGACCTTGACACTGACATATAATTAGTAACTTATTGCTCACCACTTGAATAGGAGGAACTGAAGAATCCCACTGTGCCTGTGAAGATTATCGCAATAGAAACGTACACTCAACCTAATCTTGTGCACATATTTATATATTTTAGTATATAGTTAAGCATTATACAAGAGTATAAAAGATGACTGAGAGCCGTTGGGAGAAGGGAAAGGGAACAAGGAAAGGGCGCGGCTCATTGGAGCTCACAGTTTGCCCTCGCGAATCTTGTTTAGCGTCTTCTCGGTCATGAACTGAGCCAGGATCTTGCTCAGCGTGGGATTCCGGGCGCAGTAGGCCAAGGTGTTGACGGGGAAGAGGCCGCACCAGGTGAGGTCCATCTTATTGGCCAAGGCAACGGCGAAAAGATCGCCACATCTCTGGGCCGTCATCCGCTTCTGATTGGCCGTACTCAGACCCACCTTTTCGCCCTGCGCGCCCGTGAAGGCCTCCTGCAGGAAATCGGTGGCAATGGGTCCCGGTGCGAAGAGGGACACATCCAGCTTGCGCATCTCCACTTTCAGGGAGAGCAAGTAAGCATTAAGAGCGTGCTTGGCGGCACAGTAGGTGGGTGAAAATGGCACTGGGCTGAAGCCGGCGATGCTGGAGGTGGCAGCGATGTGTCCTCGACCGCCGTTCTGCTCCACGAAGTAGCGCACCACCAGGCGGCTGAGATGGACCACCGAGAAGACATCCAGCTCGAACAGCTCGCGGTCCACCTCGATCTCGACTTCCGTCCAACTGGCTCGCTGGGATCGGCCAGCATTGTTGACCAGGACGTCCAGCCGATGAAAGTGATTGAGCAGCGTGTTGAGATGCGTCTTATGCTCGTCGAGATCGAGCATGTCCATTTGAATAACCAGCACGTCCTTGGTGGCCAGCAGTCCTCGAGCTGCAGCTAGGCACTCCTCTTGGACCTGCTCCAATTGCTCCAGTCGCCGGGCACTTAGCACCAGTTTCACACCATGCCTGGCTAAGCTGAGCGCCAAAGCGCGGCCAATTCCGCTCGAGGCACCAGTTATCCAAACCACCTGACCGCGCATCGACGACAACGAGACGCCGAAACGGGATTTGTACCACAGGGCCACATTGCAGTCCAGCAGGATCCAGAGGAGCACGTACCCCACATAGTACAGCACCAGCAGGAGCAGCAGAAACTCCAGGAAGGTCATTTCGTTGGCTCTGTACGGCTCAGCTGGGTCGGAGCAACCTTTGTCCTCTGCCGCAACGGAAGGCACTGAAACCTGTTCTTGCCCCCACACAGAAATCACTGCGAGAGGGTCTGATCGATCAGCTGTTGGTGGACACCAGAGATGACGCAGTGACTGCGGAAAGTAATCACTCTATCTCATTGATAGCCATATAAAAATGGAAACTTGTTTTCGAATGATGCTACATTATTGAAATGCCCATTGGTAGCTAAGCAAGGGTAGTGTCACAGCAACCATGTCACAAGAAGTTCTCCTATCTGCTCATCTCTGATAGTTTCTTTTACGTAAACGAATCTGTGGTTCCAACACTCTACCTTTGCGCCAACACTCGCATCAAAATTCAACCCGAGCAGTTTGGCTAATATTTTCATTTTATAAAAAAGTAAGTAAACTAAACCTAGGTCTGCAGGAAGTCTCCGAGATTGCCGCATATCTTGTCGATTTCCGCACATCCCGTTTGCTCCAGCGCCGAAATGGCATTGGCGAGGGCCACGGTTTCCTTCAGCGAATGCGCGTTCAGCCAGATCCTGCCGTTCACTCCCACGGCGATTTCGTAAGGTAGTTCTCGTGTTAGAGCGGTGAGAACGGGGCAGTTTTCCCGCAGTAGCATCCTGCCCAGATTCAGGCTGCACTTGAAGAAGAATCCCTCGGCGAGGACGCCCAGTTTGCCACGCTTGCCCACCGAATTGACGCAGACCAGCTCCGATTCAATGTCTGCGCTGGCATTCAGGACTCTCGCGTAGATCAGATCCCCGGGATTCAGATCCGGGCGATTCTTCTTGGTGGCCGCCTCAAAGGCGAGATACGATATGGAGGCTGTGTCTGCTGCTCCGATGTCCACGCGATACAGATCGCCCGCCTTGGACCGCACTATGCCCAGCACCAGATCTCCGCGCGCTGGGATGTATCGCCTCTGGTAGTTGTCCACCCAAAAGGTGCCGGGTTCCTTGTGACGAAGTGGGCCCGCCTTGCTAGCCACCACCGTGTCGTCCAGTCGCCGCAGTCCCGGTCCGAGAATCACGCGCTTGCTCTTGGCCAGCTCCTCAATGGCCGTGATCCGGTCGCCGGGCATAACTACTGTGCTGGTCGCGCTCATTTTAAAGTAACTGCTCCGATTTAAAAACTCCAAACAAAAAATCCGCGTGTGTCTTTCAAAACATATGGTCAAGTCGAGTGCTTACCAACACTGCCCGTGCCAGCCCTGGTCTTTAAAGTAAAATAACAGTTGCTATTAACAGTTTTAGTTGCCGCTGTAAAGTTTATATTCATGCTATTTTTTTGCCCTTTTGTATAGTCTAAACTTAATAAGGCTTTTGGTTTGTATAGTTAAGATCTGCTTAAAGAAAAAACCAATAACCAAGTAATATTTACATTACAGTATCAATCATTGATTTCTATTACAAAATGATCTTAAAAATGCAACTGATAAATAAGCGCTAACAGTGTGTGGGCGGCAATGTTAACCAACACAATTTATACATTGCCCGATCAGCTGTGCTGCTATAAACATAATCGTACGATTTGCTTAAAACCGCTTTGCATTAATTTGTCCTAATTTATGGCAGCCAAAAAAGAGTGAGAAACCACAAGTATGTGACTTTGAATGACCGATTGTCCAGAAAGCACGGGAACAGCCTATCACCTTGGCTGTTACATTTCTATTAATGCCACTTGATTGTTTATGCTTTATTAACGCGAGCATTTACTCTCCTGTAGATAGACATGCAATCCACAGCTGCGTGTGGATCCCAATTCAGCTAACCTTGTGCGAAGGTCAATTTTCCCCAAAAAAATATAGGAAACATACCAGGAGAAACAACAAAAAAGGGAAAACGCACCCCCACGCTGAAAACCGGCGAGCACCTGGAGACGCATACATATAAAAAGAGAGTAAAAGTAAGTGGCGCTCTCTTTTTACATCTAGAGGTGGTCGAAAAAACATCGCCTAAGCTGAGCTTTTTAGCTTATTCATACTAATTTATCATTTAGTTTGTACCCAAATTAAAGGCTTGTGTAAGAAAACTTAATACACATTCTAACCGATACTATTACTCCTTTTACCCAGTTCCAAATGAGAAGCCTTTTCCCCGCCGTCCTTTAAGTATTCACACAATGTCTTGGATCTCGGGAGCACCCTGGAAGGCTTCCATCACTAATATTGAGTGTCTGCGTCTGCGCTGGCCTCTCCCAAGAATTCTGTCGTCGCTAGCGGGCAGCGGCAGCGAAAAATCGGCGAGCGGCTTCTCCGCGGTTTCGCCGCGTTTCAGAAGCAAATCAGCAGTCAGCCAGCTCTCATCTGGATTTAAATTTGTGCAGATCCGCAAAAGTACTTGGTATGTATAACGCTAGACTTGGTGTGTGTTTGTGCATCCAGCTTATAAAAATATGTAATTGTTTTATCTGCGGGCCCACAAAGATCACCCCCCATCGAAAGGCTTGAGAATCAAGCAGTTTTCGCAAGCGATTTCCGTGCGATTATCTAACAAATGGTGCTGTGCAAATTTTCAAGTGGCTCCTTTTCGCACATTTCCAATCGATCTAATTGCACAAATCTAATAATTTCAATTGACAGCAAATCGTTCTATCGCTGCAGAGATATACTTTCCTTTTTCGCAACTTTTCCACGTCGTGCGGCTCTGCTGGACGCCTCACTTTGGGTCTGACCTTTAAAAGTAGCTTAGAGGTCATTCGGTTGTTCGGCGAGAGAAAACTGAAAACTCTCCCACTGAGACAGCGGAAAAGCGGCAAAGCGGGAAATGCCGCCCGTGTCAGTGACTCCAAATAATTTTAGAAATATTTAACTGAAATCTGAAGACAAATTAAATATAGAAATCGCAGTGGGGGCATTTCGAGACTATTCCGTGGAGAAAGTCACACCCAAGTGGGGATACAAAACTTACACCACTCGCCGCTCAAATTGCAAGTGACATGCTCACGCCTACAATTCTCTGCAAAAATAAAGTTGAGTTCTACATCAATATTTAAACATTTTTCATATGAAAAGTCTAAAATTATGGCACAGCAATATGGATCTCCCAGTGCCTTTCTAGTTTCCCTTACTGCCACTGTATCACCAAACATTTCATACAACTGTCAAGTTAGTTACAATTTAAGCAGCTCCAGTTTTCAAGCAATGGCGGGAATTTCGGGAATATTCTGGAGCACATCCACCACTCAAACTGAAAGGCCTCGTCTGCGGTCAGCCATTTGATAGAACACCATGCCTAGATTGAAACCCCTGATAGCAAAACACTAATTCGCCGTCCTCGTGGACTTTGGTTTTTGCAGTGACAGCAACGAGATGACCATCAAAGCAATCAAGGCCCGTCAGATCTACGACTCCCGTGGCAACCCCACCGTGGAGGTCGACCTGACCACCGAGCTGGGACTCTTCCGCGCCGCCGTGCCCTCCGGCGCCTCCACCGGCGTCCACGAGGCTCTGGAGCTGCGCGACAACGACAAGGCCAACTACCACGGCAAGTCGGTGCTGAAGGCCGTCGGCCATGTGAACGACACCCTGGGCCCCGAGCTGATCAAGGCCAATCTGGATGTGGTCGACCAGGCGTCCATCGACAACTTCATGATCAAGTTGGACGGCACCGAGAACAAGAGCAAGTTCGGAGCCAACGCCATCCTGGGCGTTTCCCTGGCCGTGGCCAAGGCTGGTGCCGCCAAGAAGGCCGTGCCGCTGTACAAACACATTGCCGATCTGGCTGGCAACAAGGAGATCATCCTGCCGGTGCCCGCTTTCAACGTGATCAACGGTGGCAGCCACGCCGGCAACAAGCTGGCCATGCAGGAGTTCATGATCCTGCCCACCGGCGCCACCAGCTTCACAGAGGCCATGAAGATGGGCTCCGAGGTGTACCACCACCTGAAGAACGTGATCAAGGCCAAGTTCGGTCTGGACGCCACCGCTGTGGGCGATGAGGGCGGCTTCGCCCCCAACATCCAGTCCAACAAGGAGGCCCTGAACCTGATCAGCGACGCCATCGCCAAGGCCGGTTACACCGGCAAGATCGAGATCGGCATGGACGTGGCCGCCTCTGAGTTCTACAAGGATGGCCAGTACGATCTGGACTTCAAGAACGAGAAGAGCGACAAGTCGCAGTGGCTGCCCGCCGACAAGCTGGCCAACCTGTACCAGGAGTTCATCAAGGACTTCCCCATCGTCTCGATCGAGGATCCCTTCGACCAGGACCACTGGGAGGCCTGGAGCAACCTGACCGGCTCCACCCAGATCCAGATCGTGGGCGATGATCTGACCGTAACCAACCCCAAGCGCATTGCCACCGCCGTGGAGAAGAAGGCCTGCAACTGCCTGCTGCTGAAGGTCAACCAGATCGGCACCGTGACCGAGTCCATTGCCGCCCATCTGCTGGCCAAGCAGAACGGTTGGGGCACCATGGTCTCCCACCGCTCCGGCGAGACCGAGGACTCGTTCATCGGTGACCTGGTCGTGGGCCTGTCCACCGGCCAGATCAAGACCGGCGCACCCTGCCGCTCGGAGCGTCTGGCCAAGTACAACCAGATCCTGCGCATCGAGGAGGAGATCGGCGCTGGCGTCAAGTTCGCCGGCAAGTCGTTCAGGAAGCCGCAGTAAGCGCAGGCCACTTCGAAATTCCAACCACACCAGCCCCATCGAATGAGATCTGGATCTTGGAGAGGGAGCTGGACGCAGTAGATCCAAGGAAAGGCGGCGGTGCAAGTGCTCGTCAAACTTTTACTTTTGGAATTTGTGTCTGGCGCACAAGTACATCAGAATTAAACTACCAAACCCATTTGCTGTCTCTATGCTTCGTTACTAGACATTATTATCAATGTTAAACCTTGATCTAATCATTATTTATAAACAAAAAGTCCAAAAAACACTATGTGCGAGATGTTCGTTCAGTTGCCGCGAGCTTGGAATATCTTTTCACTGTAGCCGCTGTAATCGTTTTGAAATTATAAATTGATCTACACACACACCAAACCCACAAACACAGTTATTCACTTCAAAAACGGTTCGAAAACAATTGTTGAGACATAGAATTTAAGCGGAAAGCTGTTGAAATATACTCATCGAGTACACGGTGTTCAGTAGTCGAGACCCTAATCAGATGGAATAGTACACCAAATATTAAACGTATTCAGATTTGTTGTTGATGTGAAATAAAAGTATAAAAATTACCGAATTCTTTTCAACTCGTTTGTGGCGTTGCCAGATTTAAAAATCTAGTAAGGGGTCTTAAAATTATAAAAGTATTACGAAGCTGGAAAAAAACATTTTCTTGATTTGGATTGAGATTGATGGGCTTGCTCAGATTATTTTCGCTGTAAACGATAAATTAATTTATCAACACAAATCAAAAGAATGAACTCTCTTCTTTAATCTTTATCTTTACTTTCCACCAATTAGTCGCGTATTTCAATTAGCTTATTCAGCCTGCTTTTAATAAATTTAAATTTCTAGGGTGGCCCAAAAAAGCGGGCAAAGTAGCGCCCTGAACCGCATTTTGTGTGGCATTTTTAGGCCCTTTCGCGGCGCCTCATGGCGGCGGTATGTTTGCACAGTCGCAGTGCGGTCACTCTGATGGACGTGTTTTCTACAGCGGATCAAAAATAAATTACTACAAAACCAAATCACAAACGCTAAGGATCGGCGAGCTCGAATTCGAATCAGTCCACCGGTCGACCGACGGACTTTAACTGCGCGCCTAGCCTAACCGTAGGTTAAGTTACCGCTCATTCGCTGCACACACTGCAGTTGCATAACCAGCCGTTGCCGAAAAGTTGCAAAATCGCAGCCCAGCGAAAGCCCACAAAGTTCAAAGGACAATAGAAAGTGGCAAGTGGCAGTGGCAAGAGGAAGAGGAGTACGTGCTCAGCGGGTCAGGAGCCCCTCCCCCTGGGGCCTCAGCCGCCCAACCCCCGTTCCCCTCGCGCCCCCCGCCCACAACGTGCCTTCAAAACACAGTGCGTTCCCCCAAGAAAACCAAGTGCGCGTCCACTGCTACCCAGTAACTCCAAGTAACCAACTCCCCAGTCCGTCGAAGGAGGAGGAGGAGGAGGAGCAGCTTCCGGAACTGGGCAGGCAGCCAAGATGGCCCAGAACACGGCCGACACCCTCATCCACCTGATCGCCGGCGGGTAAGTAGTGGCGGAGTGAGTCTGGCTTCCACGCCCACTGCCTACTGCGTCTTATCGCAGGTCAGGCGACCGCTCATCATGGGCTAAACCGGTTTGCGTTTGCCCGGCCTTTGGCTGTAATAGTGGGGCGAGAACGGCGCAATTGCGATTAGATTTGGCTCGCGATTGGGAGCTGAGCGTTTTTTTGGCGCCATTGCCAAAAGCGAGGAAACCTACGCAACCGAGGAGACCGAAAAAGAAGAAAGGCCCACAGAGCAGGGAAAACACAATCTGTTCCTTGGGAAACACGCTATGTTCACGTGTTTTTGGCCATACTTGTTGTTCGGCAGTGACAGCTGCTGAAATCGCAGCTGAATTGAACGACATGCACTGAACATACGTAGTGAAGCACAGCCACGAAGAGAGCATTTCTGGGTTCATTTAACCGCAGGCCAGGCAATGTCCAATTGGATTTATTCCACTTCCCCTGGACGGGCTTCAATTGCTTTGTTGTTGTTTCCCTTATGACTTTTATGGCGGCTTTTATGCGTCTATTTTTAGGCGCGTCGCATCTGAATTTATTTGTGTTATTTGTGTTTTCACCGGCACCCTACACACACACGGTCCGGCACATCAGTTCGCCACGCTCCCCAGTGGAAACCAGTTTCAGCTCCAAGTCGAGCCCCTGGCCATTCGGAAAACGATCTCAAGCCAAGTGGATTGTGTTTTTGCTTGATATTCACATGTAGGATGGTCAACAAGTGTGCCTTGTTATGGATGCATACTACAGATGATTATTCTGTTCGTTAGTATCTTCTATGCCATGCTTATGACCTCCACTTTATATAAACACAACTGTGAATACTTTGATTGCGGTGGCCTTGGTGGAGGCCTTTGATAGAGTGACCCGCGTTAGCAATGCCCCTGAATGACACTTCTAATGCCCCAGGTCTTCCTGGGCAATTTGCCGGCCGGCAGAGCAAGTCCACTTATCAGCGAGGAACCCATCCGGCTCCACAAGTCTCCGTATCCGCATCTGTATCTAACGAGCTGCGCGCACATATGCGTAATACATACGCTTGCGGGCTGGAAATTGGAGGCGCGACATGCACGTTGCAACCTGAGCTGGCTAATTCCCCAGTTGTTCTGGCCACCCGCGAATTGTCGTCGGTTCCCGAGTATCTCGTGTTGCTACACGTTGGGAAAACAAAGCAAAAGGCAGCACAACCGCCACACATTGTTATCGCTGCCAGTAAGCCGCAGGGCAAACAATCGAACGACATCCATCTAATCGGGCATCAGGGGCCTCCAAGGGGCTTACATAAGCTGAATGGGGGCAGTGCACGTGGCTCTCAAGGAACTGCATGCCCCATATTGTTCTAAGATCAGAAAACAGCTTACTTGGGCTTTCACGAGCCTTCCTTTCGTAGTTCAGTGTGCATAGCTAAGTATTTCTGCAGCACTTACGAAATGGCTGATGTATTCCCCAAATCATCGATTTGGCACACCAATATAATAGGTGTTTCCTACGTATTTTGCCGCTGTTCGTTCAGAAACAATTCTAAATTGAGCTTGGCAAGCGATTTCGAATTTGTTTTGGTTCTCGGCGAGACTGAGAATTATTTGCCAGGCAAATAAACTTTTTCTGGCACACTGACTCAGTTGAAGGCGAGTGGGGACTGCAACAAACAACAGAACCCAAGGTGTTCTATGGCGTTTCGGGGCATGATGACAATGTGACTCTGGCTACGAGATGCACATGGCTCCTACGATTCCTGGTCCACAGCTAAAATTAGCTGTAGTAACGCGCTGTCTCATGTTATGTCATTATAAGACCACAAACTTTTCCAGCAGCTGGGATTCGTTTGCATCTCGCTCGAGGCCAAAAAATATATTTTCGACTCGTGTCTCTCCGCACGTACGCATATTTTGCACGTTGCATTTATTTTGAACAACTTGAGAGGTAACCATAGCCAACAGGAAGGCACCTTAATGAGAAAGGTATTTCCATTCTGCGAATAATCGAAATGATATTAATATTTATTCTAAACCACTTGGCACGCTGAAACTGTGCCAAGGGCGTCGTTTTGATAGCACTCTTGATCTAGACACACATTTTCCGCTACATACATTTTCGTGAAGCGCGGAAAGCGAATGAAAATTCGGCGAAGCTATAGAAGGTCGCGTGCCAAGTTGTATTCGAAACTAATAGGAAAATAATGCTCCATCTGAATGCTGGGGCCCCAACCTTCGCTTCCTTTGACCCATAAACAAGAGCATTGAAAACTTTCCATAGATTTCCTAATCTTCAGCGAAGCCAAAAGCAGCGGTAGCCAAAGTAAAAACGTCAAAATAAAAGCGGCATTGATAAGATGGGAACGCAGGTCTGCGAAACGCAAAAACCATTCACCAGCGCGTATCATATTCGAGTGATAAGGAAAGTCTGCCCGAAAAGGTGTCCTTATCAGTCGTCGTTTTGGCCACACAATGCGAGGTGTGTGGGGGGGCTTCCTCCACGAGCAGCTGGACAAAAGTCACCCCAGCAGAGCTGACGCATTCCCCAGCGGACTTATCACACCGCCTTTCATTTGTACCTACCCCCATAGACGAAGTCTGCGGCTCCAAAATGCCCGCTCTTATCTCTGCTTTTGGGCAGGAGTGTCAAGGAACAGATAAACCGCACATGAACCGCTTGCAAAATGCATGCTTCTCGCACATGCGTCGCCAAAGGCCGTCGATCGGGGTAGCTATATGCATATATACAGATACATCTGATCGGCGTGATAACCTTGCTAATTGAGCACTTCACAGGAGCTGCAGAGAAACGCTTTAAGTACTTGGCTCAATATTTATTCAGCGCTTTATTTGCGTTCGGTCTCGTACTGCGATCTACTTTGTGCGATCATTAATCTTAGCTCGGCGGCTGGACCGCTCAGTGCTCAGTATCTAATAGTTGAGCAGTGCCTTAGATCATCTATATACCTCTAGTATTATTTATCACAACTGTGATTGAATTGCTTCTTCATCACCTGCAACTGGCAAAGCGATTCATCAATCGTTCGCCTGAATTTCGATTGTTTGTCCAACTGTCTGGGTAAATGGAATGGGTAGCAGTTAGCCTCATTCTCGTGATGTGATGTGCCAGCCAAATGCTAATTGAAGCTGAATGGTCGTATGCATTGATCAAGTGCGTTTCCTGGTTATTTGCTGATGGGATAGGGTAGCTAGTGTCCAGATTAAAGGCCCAAACCAAAAACCAAAAAGCAGCATATGGCATGTTTGGCCTGCCACCGAGATAATTGGCCGCAGGTTCCATTATGTCACAGCCATTAGGAGGCATGCCAGATTCGAGGCGGATCGGCAGCCGTAGAAGTACTCTGCGCCCAGTGGACTTGATAAGGGGCTGCTTTTGTCCGGCCAGTGCAATTCATCCGCTGGCAGGCAGCAAAGGTTATCGAAAGTAGAGCCGGGTCAATCCGCAACCAGTTCGGACCGGATTCCCATGGATTCCCATCGCAGCCATCGCCTCCAGATTTGCAAAATGAAACGAGGCAGACAGTTGATTAAATGTTATTTGTACTGTTTTATTGCTTTAGGGGAGCCATTCGTGTCTGTCCCCAAGGAATCCGCTCATCGATCAAACTTCTGCCCCTTTTCTCTGCCATTTCATTACCGCTTCAGGTTGCATAACCTTTGCCCCTTTCGCAAGCTTATTGCCGCCGATTACAGTGATTCAAGTTCACAATTCACTAGTTGCCAACTGGCAACTTACAAGTTTGCGATCACGAGCCGTGCTTCTGCGTACACGTGTCCCTATCATTCCAGATAGCAAAGTTCCAGGTGCTGTTTTCCCCTCGATGGAGGCAATCTGCGTTGGCCTTTGGGAAAGGTCGTGTATAATTAATTTTTGGGGGCGCTCTTTCGCCGAGGTGTAAACAAGTTATTAATCTGGGGTAAGCCAAAGTCAAGGCTAGTTCAGCAATGAAATTGGAAACTAGAAGGCAGCTCAAATTTACACAAGTTTCCTGGTGTGTTAAACATTTTCATTTGCATCGCCTTGTGCTCTTCGCAGTTCGGTAAACAAATCAAATCGACCGACCTTGCCTTACATGCACTTGGCATTTGTAACGCATCGCAATGGAAATGTTCTATAGTTCGCTCGGCTACTTGGTGGACACCAGCTCCTCCTGCCCGCCTGCTCCTCCTAGATTTCCCCAGCAACAACCCAAGCCATCCGATGCATTAGGCAAAGCGCTGCTCATTTCCGATGCAGCCAATCAAGAGGGGTTAGCACTTAAATCGAAGTGGAATGGCATGGGCATGGGCCCAAGTAGTCGGCTATTCTATATGCACGGAATATGGAGGCACATTTTTAGCCGGAATTGCGCAAATCCAAGAAATACGAGTTTGGGAAACAGATATTTTTCTGCCCGCTTGATTGCCAAATGAGATTTATTTTTGTGTTATTCATAGATGAACGTTTGCCATTGAAAATGTGGCGGAATATACATATGTACTCTTTAAAAGACTTTTAGTTCTATTTATGCCTTTGAAGCACTTTAAGTGGGAAGGAATTTGTAGTGGGAAAAGTAACTAACTGAAATGGAAGTTTCCTTACTTTTTGGATACAATTTGGATGAGATTACTTACTGGGTCTGCTTTTCATTCTATTTCATCCGCGCAGATCCGCTGGCACAGTGGGTGCCGTGGTCACATGCCCCCTGGAGGTGGTGAAGACGCGTCTGCAGAGCTCCACGGCGTTCATGACGCCGTCCCGGCTGGCGGAGAACGCCGGTGGACCGGCGAATGGTGGCCAATCGGAGCTGCTGCGGCCGGAACAACGACGTAAGCTAAGCACAACGATATTACGTAACAGATCACAGCCACAGGTGATTGGGGGTGTGCGTAGGGTAGTACCAACTTCTTTTACCTATTTATGCCCATCTCATGCCCATCTAACCCACCTGCATCCCAGCCACTGCATCCAAGCCACTGCATCCTAACAAGCTAAGCCCCGACTCCCGATGCCAGCGAAGCGAGCACCTACGATGCCTTCATCTCCATTGCCTCCAGCCTGGACTACAATGGTGTACTAACTGAACCTGTTTTTGCCTTGCAGATCATGGCCATTTCACACTGCGGCATCTCATCCACAACGCCCAAATCCATCAGCATCGTGCAGTGCCTGCGGTAAGTGGACACCAGCTGCCTTACACTCGTATACTGGAATTTCGTATGCTCATTGCTGCACTTGCAGGCATATTGTCCGGAACGAGGGTACACGCGCCCTGTTCAAGGGTCTGGGTCCGAATCTCGTGGGCGTGGCCCCATCCCGTGCCATTTACTTCTGCACCTACTCGCAAACCAAAAACACGCTCAACAGTCTGGGGTAAGTCGGTTAGATCGCCGTACATCCAACTGGGCAAGCCCATTAATGCCCGCGCTTGATCCCCAGCTTTGTTGAACGTGACTCGCCACTGGTGCACATCATGAGTGCAGCCAGCGCCGGCTTCGTCTCCTCCACGGCCACCAATCCCATTTGGTTTGTGAAGACGCGGATGCAGCTAGACTACAACTCCAAGGTGCAGATGACCGTGCGGCAGTGCATCGAGCGGGTCTACGCCCAAGGCGGCGTGGCGGCCTTCTACAAGGGCATCACGGCCAGCTACTTCGGCATCTGCGAGACCATGGTTCACTTTGTCATCTACGAGTTCATCAAGTCGAAGTTGGTAAGTAGCAGCATTTGTGGCGGCATTGCCAAATTCCAACTTATCGGCGTGCTTGTGACAGCTGGAGCAGCGGAATCAGCGGCATACGGACACCAAGGGCTCCCGCGACTTCCTGGAATTCATGATGGCTGGCGCTGTTTCCAAGACAATCGCCTCCTGCATCGCCTACCCCCATGAAGTGGCTCGCACGCGTCTGCGGGAGGAGGGCAACAAGTACAACTCCTTCTGGCAGACCTTGCACACTGTTTGGAAGGAGGAGGGCAGGCCAGGACTCTACAGGTGGGTGGAATCGATAGTTAGGGGGATTTTCTATTTAATCGGCCACTAAAGCAATCAACTTGAGCCTCGGGGTTCCCATGCTCAGGAAGTTCCCTCGAATCCATCTTGAAATAGATTAAATCTTTCAATTGCCTGGACACTAGGAAATCCCACAGATCCAAAGGGAATCCCACTGCCCATCGACTACATATTTATAAAATCTCTATACATCATAGCTAATGAATTATCATAATGCGCCACCCACGACTTCGTGAAATCTATTTAAATTCTTTTGCGTCGCATATTTGTGTTTGTTTACCTTAATTTGATTATCACTCGCGAGCGTGCTCACTCTGAGTTTTATATGAGGGATTTGGAACAGCAATTTCAACCACTAATTGTGCCTTTTACTACCCGTTCCACAGGGGCTTGGCCACGCAGCTGGTGCGACAGATCCCCAACACGGCGATCATGATGGCCACCTACGAGGCGGTCGTCTACGTGCTCACGCGGCGCTTCAACAACAAATCGAACGAGTTCTACGACTTTTAGATGCCTTTCAAAGGACTGGTTGACGAAAATGAGCAGGAGGAGGAGGAGGAGGAGGAGGAACCCAATCTGTGCATATGTAGACGCGACTGCTGCAACTTAATTGTAATTGTACCCCGTTTTTAGACGATCCAAACCAACGAGCGCAAATTCTTAGTTAACTAGCTTCTAAGTCAGATGTGAAACGAACTCGATAGACTTAAGACGTTAGACGTTGAGCGTTGGCCAACAATGCGAGGAGATGAGAAACACGCACCAGGATCGAAAGCAGGATTGCACCAACCAAACTTAAACCCATTTTGCTGTAGCATACGGCAAACAGAACAGAAGGATCTGGCTTGCCGCTGCAAGGGAAACGTTATCAAAATTCAAAAAGGCTGCTATTTAGTTAAAGTTACAATATATATTGAGTGTATAAATGTGGTTGATACTTGGATACTTGATGTAGTGTAAATAGGACTCGCTCGATTCGCTCAGAGTGTGTTGTAAATATAAAAGGAGTGAGTCCACTGGCGTTGCAATACGGCCCTAGTTTTCTTAGTTGTAAGCACAAAATGTTGAATCGAACGCAGTTGCCATTAGATGCCGCTATATATATGGATACAAAACCGACCGATCCGATACGTACTCTAGCCTTAATTTGTAAAAGTTTGCGTTAAGTTTCCTCAAGTGCGATATACTATTTAGTTACCATTACTCTACCATTACTTTAACTCTATTATTATCATCATTGCTGTTTGTTTAGTCCATTAGTTAGCTAGTTAGCGAGCTCCATAGTTAGTGAGAGCCACACTTCCCCCAAAAACGTATTTCACTGATAACTAAGGAAACCACTGTGAATAATTGATTGCAATCCGTTTGATGGTGAAATCAATAAATACAACAACTTTGTTTAAAAATACCCCACTCGTTGGCTCTCTTATGTCTTTATGCGCTTTAAGTCCGCACATTATCTTATCGGCAACCGTCTGCAGACCCTCGAACATAGTTCGTCTTAGAAAAGCAGACTGTCGGCCATAAAAGTGAGATGAGATAAGCCGATTTAGCCGAGATATTACGTTTCAGCACAACTGGTTGAAGTGATTTAATGGCTAACCAATATTTCAGACATATAAATTTCTGAGTACGGAAATTCAGATTTCTGCGACCGTCGAATATTAAATAAGCAACGTTTCTTTGCTTGAAAAAATGAGTTCTAAAAATATAAATTCAAATGCTTATGCCGTGGTTCGAGTCCGGGCTAAAAACATCGCACAGTCTGGTTCAACACCAACGTGTTCCATCGAAGATCACAACCACGTGCTCGATCGCAGTTCTTCCCCATCCCTATGAACGCCACCACGCTTCACAACGTAACGAACCGCCGTCTCTAGTAACGTAAGCAGTGTTTCGAGCAACAAGTTGATTTTATTTTCATAAACAAAGTTTGTTGAAAGCGAAAAATCCAGCCAAAGTGGTGAATCGTTGGCTATTCCGCGAGCAACCTTGATAACGAGTCAAAGAGCGGCCAACGAGCAGCGCACTTAACCCGGATAGAAAGCAATCAGTGCAATTGGAGCAGCTTGAAAGGCACACATCGAAAGCCAACAAATCGAGATCGAGAATAGAGAATCGAGTTGACACCCATTCCACCATGCAAATCGATGCACTGGAGGCCTGAATATGCTGCTCAGCGAGACCCACTTCTGGACCACGGTGCGGGAGGATGTGGTGCGGATCAAGAGCCAGGATCTGGGCGCCTTCCGCTACCTCAGGCAGCGCGACAAGGAGCAGGAGCAGCAGGACGTCGCCTTCCTGGCCAAGCGGGACTACACGGAGCGTCGCAACGGACTCGCCGTGCTGAAGAACTCCGGTCGCAAGTCCACCGGCCGCTTGAAGGACAACCTCAAGAAGCTGGAGGATCTGCTGCGCCAGCACAGGATCATCCACTCCGAGTGGCAGGACGCGGCGCAGGTGCTGCTCCTCTTCTCCCACGGCCTGATCGCCCACATCTGCGTGGACATCTACACGGGCGACATCCTGCGCATGGTCTTCGAGAAGTACCTGGTAGGCAAACTCGCCTCCGAGGTCATTACGGATGGTATGTGCGCAGCTCTCTCTCTCCCTCTGTCTCTTTTCACTCCGAAAGCCCCGGTAAATCTCACCACCTCGTTGTGCACTTCGCCCTGCCCTCCATCGCATTAATGCCATCCATCCATCACCCTGGGCAGTGCACCTCGCATCTCGGCTGGAAAACATCTCAAGTTACAGAATTTAAAAATCAGTTAAAATACGCCAACACGCAATATTTAATGGTTACTCCGCGCGCAATTACAGGTTCCTCCTCATTAGATCGAATGCCCAAGAAAGCCCAGGGTATTGCCCATTCGGCAGAGTGCAGTCCGCATCTTGGCCTTGCTCCGCGGAGCGCTGCTTGTGCAGTTATGGAGAAATTTGCATTGGCAACAAGTGCGACTTGATTTGCACTTTCCCACACCAACACAGCCGCACGCACACATGCAGCAGCATGCAATTATTGTAATTTTTAATTAATCTGCTGGCTTGTTTTGTTGCCTGTAAATATGCGAGCCCCCATCTCCCATCCCCCATCTCCCATCCACCAGCTTTCCATGTTTTGTTAAAGTCACTCATTCAGCTTTGTCGCTTGTGTCTTTTCTCGGTGGGCCGCCAGCTTTTTTCACCCGTTCCCACATCGTCTTGGCCTACAACACCAACCAGCTGACGGTGGTGCATCTGCAGAGGCCTAACGCGCGCTCCCAGGGGCCGGAGAAGATCGCGAACATGGATCCGCGCATCTTCCACGTGATCATACCGGGCGCCACAGAGCGCAAACTATCCCGCCACCTCACAGTCAACGGCAGCTTCGATCTGTTCGTGGTCTGGACGCAGTCCTCGCAGAACGAGGTGTATCCCTGGAGGCCGACGGTAAGGGACCAGGATCGCGCCAACATACATGTGTTCAAGATCAAGGGGTAAGTTCAATTCAACTCCAGTTCCCAGGAGTCCAGTGCCCGTCTAATGGCTTTGCTCAGTTTGCAGCTGGAATCGATTGCCTATTGCTGGTCGGAGAACGACCCGCTGTGCGTGGACTTCCTGCGGAGCAGCGAGAGCCAGATCATCACCCTGGAGCAGAAGGTATCCCGCAAGGGCGACATAAGCGCCGAAATCTGCTCCTACGAACTGGCCGCCGGCAAAATGCAGCGCACCGCCATTACCTCCATTCCAATGTGCGCCCAGATCTGCTCCTTTGCCTTCAGCCCCGACCAGGAGAAGCTCTTCCTGGGCAGCATCGATCGGAATATTTGCCTGCACGACCTCGTCCAGCAGTCGACGAAGTACGCCAACCAGATTGAGATCGTGCCCAATCAGTGCGCCTGGCACTGCGACTCCGCCATGCTTTGTGTGGCCAACGAGCGTTCGGTGCTGCAGTGCTTCGATCTGGCCCTGGCCACCATTGGCCATCAGCTGGTCAGCGAGAGTGTGACGCCGGCCAGCTTGCTGGATCTCTCGCACTACTTTGTGGCCCAGCCAACGCTGCTGAGTGTCGCCTTCAGCCGGAAGCCAGATTTGTCCACTTTCAAGCACACCTACGCCCAGACGGATTGCCTGCTGCTGCTGATCTACGAGCAGGGTCCTCTGGCCTGCATGCGCATCTTTGGCGGCACCGGAATGCGCGGCGATATCCACAACTCCGGCCTCACTGCGGACGTCATTGCGGACAAGTATCTGCGGCTGCAGCAGCCGGACAGGGCGGTGAATGTCCTGGCCGCCCTCAACTGGGAGACCTACGGAGCCATGTGTCTGATTACGCTGCACAAGATAGCCAACTATGTGTTCTTCGGCGGCGACCAGCGACGCCCTCGCATAGAGCTGATGGCCAGGGCGCTCAAGACATTCGCGCACACGCTTTCCGAGGAGACGAAGGACGAGTTCAGCGACCAGGTGTACGATCTGAAGCGCCGCTTCTGCTTCTATCTGCTGCGGTGAGTTGCGCTCCAGTGGGCATGCCACTTCGTATGCTGAATCCTTTGATTGCTTGCAGCAAAAACCTGTTCGCTGAGGCCTTTGAAATCGCCCAGGATGTGGCCGACTATGACATATTCATGGACCTGTACAACCTAACCAAGTGCATCTCCAGCCTGAGTGAGTTCGCCCAGGTGGCCTTCAGTCAGGCAGCTGCCATAATCCACGAGGAAGATCGTGCCAACGGCAATCTCAGCCTGACCTGCGACCTGCGCTCCGAGTCGGCCTGCTCGCTGTCCACCTGCTCGGACATGTTGCGCGGTCAGGGTGCGGCCACGGGCACCGAAACCGGACTGGGTCCAGGTCAGCCACAAAACCAGCAGGTCCTCAAGAACTACGTGCCACCGCTGCCCTCGTTCAAGTCGAAGGTGTTCAACGCTGAGATGATCAAGATCAACATACCCAAACCGGAGCTGAGGCCGCCCTTGCCGAAGGTTTCGATAGGGCCACCAATCTCTTCGCTGGCGAGTCTAACCCTGAAGTCCAACAGTCTGCAGCAGGCGCCCGCAAAGAGTCTGCACTCAAATGGTTAGTAAGGAGAACAGCTCAAGGAACTCTTCATCACTTCCAATGTATTATTTCAGGCAATGTGTGGTCCCAGGATGTGCCGGATCAGACAGTGGGTCTACCCATGGCTAGCAGTCCCCTTCCTCGTCTTGCGCCTTCTAGCATTCCCGATCAGAGCTCCCAGCTGGGCCAGTTTAGCACGATGCCAGCTGCGCCTCCGCCGACAGCCGCCTATCAGCCGAAGTTTTACCAGCATCCGCTTGTCTCTGGCAATATCCCCGCCATGCTGCCCTCGCTCACCAGCGAGGACTACCAGAAGCGGCTGTTGCTGAAGAAACCCACTGCATCCATATTGTCCAACCCGGCAAATCCAGCACCCACGAACGGAGAGGCACCCGCCACGCCCGCAAAGTCACAAACGGCCGAGAAGAACAAAGTCAAATTCTCGGATACAATACAGGTGGCGGTGGTGCCTGTAAGTATACAACCCAATCGAGGATTTGCCAGTTTATTAATGCTTCTAATCCACCAGGAGATTCCTCGCAAGGAAAAGCCTATGCCTCCCAAGAGAAACGGTTACTCCAGGCCAGCAGCGCGACACCTGACCAATCCTAAAAAGGAACTCGCAGACAGCCTGCCGCTCTGTCATCCCAACGACGAGTACCTTAAGGATTTCAACCCCATAACTACCAGTGGGTATTAGTTGAGGTTGCCATTATCCATGCTCCATTGACCCTGTCATTTGTTCGCAGATGTGACCAAGCCGCCCATTCGACGACGCGAGGAAGAACCCAAGAGCAGCAGCAAGGGCGGTAACTCCTCGTCCATCAAGGTGGTCCACTTTGGCGTAGTCTAGTAATTCATAGTGCAATTCCTAAGCGTACACCATTTCGGTTAAGAGCTGCGTCTTCCAATCGTTTGTAACTATTGCCGTCCCAGTTAGTGCAAAGCTTTAAATAGGAAAGTTTTTACTCATAGGTTCTCTACACTCTTTACACAGGTTACTCATTAAAGCTTAGCATTAAATGTTTGCCAAATCGGAGGCGCCGCCTACTTCTTCTTGGTGGTGGTGGGCCCGCCCATGCGCTCCAGCTCGACCTTCAGGTCGAGCAGCTCCTTGTCGGGCACGTAGCGTCGCTCCTCGCAGTCGTCGGTGTGCTCCTGCACCCTCAGGCTCACTCCCTCGGGCAGCGCCGCCTGGGCAAGGCGCAGGAACTGCGGATACACTGGCGCATCCACGTTGTTCAGCTGCAGATTGCGCTCGTAGGTGGTCAGCTTGTACTCCGACTCGATGACCGTGGAGTTGGGCCGCAAGCGCTGCACCGTCGTCTGCTGCGGCGGGAGGGCGTAGCAATCGGAAACGTCCAGCTCCAGGTACTCGGCCACTCCGTGCAGAAACCTCTGGTAGCTCTCCAGCTGCGGATAGTCGTAGCCCTTGATCTGCACGTTCAGGCTGTCGTACTGCGGGAACTGCGGCTTGAGGGACTGCAAAACGGAGGGAATGGTATATAATGGGGCAACTGATTGAGCTCTGGCTGCTCGATTCTGCTAGTTCCGAGCAAGTACCATATAAAATGGGGTTGTAAGCTCGTTACGATGCATAGCTGCCTAATATGTATGTGAACTCGGTTGAGGACCCACCTCCAGGTAATCCGGCTCGTAAACACTTCCACTGGTGCTCCGCACGGCGGTGGTTGTTGCTCTCGGCACCTGCAGCGCCAGGCGCACACTTGGCACTATCTAGCACAGTACAAAGTATTGAATTTAATACAGATTTTAATAGATATATTCAGCCATTTACCCTGCGTAGCATTTCGGTGTTTTCAATTCTCCCAGTCAGGTTATATCACCAGCTGACGGCGTGCAGCCACACTAGGCCAGCGCCACGGTCACACTGGCAGATACATGCGATAGGTTCGGCAAATGATATCGAAGAACGATAGGCACCGATAAGTTCGGACAAGTAGAAGAGGAAATAATATTTGTATTTACTTACGCACATAGCACTCGAAATGAAGGGATCGGCCACGCTGTTGGTGGTTGCGTTGGCGCTGCTACTTGGACCGGAGAACACGGCCGGCAAATCGGATCCGGGCATCGTGGACGTGCTGGTGACCACGGTAAGTATGCGTACCACCACCTCAGCCCCAAACAAATAGGGGAATTAATCCGTTTCCGGCTACGTAACCACTGCTTTGTCCTGTCTCATCCCACACAGGACTTGTCCAGCATCCGGGAGCAGCGTCCCCTGCTGGCCAACACCAATATCTACGCCCAGAGTAAGTACAGGCGGCGGAAAACGCATGACGAATGCCTCCGACTTACCCCCTTCTTCCGCACCCTCTCATGGTTCCAGTTAAGGGCTGCACTTCCAAGGTGGAAACAAACCTGACCATTACGTTTCGGCTGACGGAGCACCCCTGCATATTCGATGACCGCACGGTGGGTACTCCGTTTCCATATGGCTCCGCGCTCCGTCCATTTAATCCCATCAATCTTATATCCCGAAACAGCTGCAGACCATTGCCCAGAATCTTACGCTGCAGAAGAACGCCACCATCAATAATGTCATCACAGAGATCACCAGGACATATCCCTGCAACGGACTCATCGTCCTGGCGATAAACAAGGACAAGCCGGTCCAAGGAGCCGCGATCCCATCACCGGAGCCCAAGCATCCCATGCTGGAGCACAAGCACCCACTTTCGGTAAATGCGACATATGTGTATATCAGCGACAAGTAGAAGCACAGCAATTACCAAGGCGCAGCACATTTCAGGCTTTTCCTTATCAGCTTATCGTTTCTGTTTAAACAGGGTATTCGGTAGGTAGGCAGGGCATACTGCTTGTGACAGTTCCGGTCATTTGAGTACACATTTTAGACCATTGTATGGTCTAATCGGTATCAGTTTTCCTATATGTAGTGAAGCCGAAACACTGATAGAACACAAGTTCTGCAGTAATTGAACTTCCGTTTCCTTTCAGCCCACAACGAACCCGATTGCGAGCGTCAAGGAGGATGGCATCTACGAAATTGAAGTGAACATCGCACCTTCCCAGTCCGCACCGTTCAATGCCGTGGTGCACATAGAGTTCCTGGGCCCACACGGCTACATCTCGGCCATAGACTGGCCATTCCTGCCGGTAGGCGAAGAGTACTTGAAAATCAATATGTTTACGTTTCATATGCCTGCTTATTTACCCACAGTTCTATTTAATCATGTGCATTGTTTACGTGATATTTGGAATTATTTGGCTGTTTGTTTCCTTCGCGCAATGGCGAGATCTTTTGAGAATCCAGTTCTGGATTGGTGGCGTCATACTGCTGGGAATGCTGGAGAAGGCCTTCTTCTACGCCGAATACCAAACACTGACGAACAAGGGAGTTGCAGTTCAGCACGCCGAGCTAGTGGCCGAGTTTGTGTCCTGTGCGAAGCGAACGCTGGCCAGGATGCTGGTCATCATCATGAGTCTCGGCTTTGGCATTGTCAAGTGAGTGGAACCACACGGTTGATTTAATTAGAAGCAGAACTACCATTAAACTACCGCCCGCAGCCGTTTGTAGTTATTATACTCATTGTAAAACAGTTGCTGATAGTGACCGACCCCCTTTAAGCAATCCAGCTTGATGTCACTCCTTAATCCATTTAATCTCTTCCAGACCCCGCTTGGGACCCATGCTGCATCGCGTGGTGGGCGTGGGAACCCTCTACTTTCTGCTGGCCTGCGTGGAGAGCTACCTGCGCATCACCAATGTGAAGACCGATCGCAGCGAGCTGCTGGTGGCGAGCATTCCACTGGCGGTGCTGGACACAGGAATATGCTGGTGGATTTTCACCTCGCTCGTGCAGACCACTCGCACTCTCAGACTTAGAAGGTGACTAATGCGAAAGATGATGATGATTACACTTGCTACAAATACCTATGCACATTTCAGGAACATGGTCAAGCTCTCACTGTATAGGCACTTCACCAACACGCTGATCTTCGCCGTTATCGCTTCCGTCATCTTCATGCTGTTTGCGCTGGGTTTGCGTAAGGTCGAGAATTGCACGCCTGTGAGTTGTTGATACGCATGAATGGAGCTGTGGGTTTACTGGTTTCAAATGCTATTTCGTGGTCTTTAGGGCTGGCGCGACATTTGGGTGGATACTGGCTTCTGGCACATTCTGTTTTCGGTTCTGCTGCTGGTGATTATGATTCTATGGCGACCAACGAATAACAACCAGCGCTACGCCTTCACCCCGCTGCTGGATAACCCAGAAGACGAGGACGACGATGGTAAGCTAGACCACGAGCTTGTCCTGCAGACACACTCCAATTGATTTTTCACATTTTTACAGACGAGGAGGATCAGTTCGTGGCTGATGCGTACGGCGTGAAAATGCGCGGCCAGAATGGAACGCCGAAAACGTCGACGACATCACGAAATGCCACGACCACCGAGGAGGACGACCTGCGCTGGGTGGAGGAGAACATACCATCTTCGATGGCGGACTCGGCGCTGCCCATCCTTGACTCCGATGAGGAAATCATTAACACCAAGTTCGAGGTGTCGAAAATGCAATAAGCTGTGACTTTCGCTGGACCGAAGAGACTTTTTACGCATATTTTTGCACATTCACGCAACCGTGTCGCCCGCCAGCAGCAAGTCCCCCAATTTGCAATGTATTTCTTAGTTCTATCCGCCATCGTTGAGGAAAACCTTTATTGCTGTGCTGCGCTGACACCGATCTTCCAATTTCGAGAACTATTTGTCCGGGCACGCCTTCTGAACCCGTGTAAAATATTGTATGTAATCGTAGTTCCTGCTACGCGCACGTGCTCCCCGTCTAAATAAACCTAACTTATTCATAATACCTAGCCTAAGTTGTAGATACCTACGCGACGAACCGAGAACTTAATTTAAAAACTTCGATTTCAATTCTAGTGCTGAGCCCCTAGTGCACTCGCAAATGTGTGTGAGCAAGCTATTGGTGGTCGCCTCATTGTATGTATATAGCTGGTAACACAAATACGAAACGATCTATATTATTGTACGAGTATTCTGTAATAACTATGATAAAACGCGACTATGCAATGTCGGAGACACTTTAACTTAAACTATTCGCTGATAACTGAAAAGATTAAAAGTAATTAAAAGTAAGCACACAATCGTTTGCGTCACACACCTCAAGGTATTTAATTACATATTTGTAATCAAACGGTCTAAGATTTTCATAAATAAATGCAATCGTATCTTAAAGGTAGCCATGAACCAAACTTCCCATGTTTTCGTTTAGTCCCTATCTAACTAGCTTATGATATGATGTGATACAAGTTTGTCATAGCTAAAAGTATAGCAAATATCGCTGCAGTAATGTATACTTTGTTGTATATATCTTATCTGTTGCGATAATAAGTTTAAACGAAGGTGTTCTTCTCTCCCCAAGTAAAAGCCTTCAAGTTGTAATTCAATATTTATTAGTTTTCTTTGTATAAAATTTCTCTTTGCCTTCCAAATTTTTGTTAAAAAATATTAAGTAAAGTAGAAAGGTAATGTGCATTTCCTCAGATAATACAATCACAAAGCGATTTCAGTTAATATTTTGCTTCGAGCTCCTTACTGTTAGAGTACACACAAACACAAAGTCACAATTAATAAACACAATATTTATTCGCGGAAGGATTAAGAACGAAACTCAAGTGCCTCGACTTCGGTGCAAATATGCATTATTACAAATAAGATACAAATACTTATGGATACTGTCTTGAGAGCGGCGAAGTTGGCATTTTCGGCTGAACTCTGGATGAAGCGCGACTCTAAACTGCAACAATGTGGGAGGACTGTTGAAACGGGCGGGCGGGCGTTCAAATTTACATTAATATGTTTCTCGCGGTGTAACAATTTTCTCATGTAACAAATTTACTGCCTAGAAATGCGTATTTAATATTTTTAGTCTGCTTTTTAGTCCAGTCTAAGCGAAATCCTCCAAGCTGCTCGGCAGAAAAAAGGGCGAGTAACTGCGAATTGGGTGGGTGTGCAGCCCAAGTATTATGAAAATGATTTCTATTTATGACAATAATTAGTAGCGACGACAGTGCCTTGCAATTCGCACATTACGGCACCCTTTTTGGGAGCAGTCAGCTAGTGGGACCTCCAAGGACTGGATTGGTTTATGTGGAAATTCAGCCTTCAGCCGCTCAGTACTCAGTTCGATTCGGGCTTGACATTGCGTCGCAGGATGGCCGCTGCGAGGTCCTGCTTCATGGCCGCCTGTTGGCGCTGATCGGCCAGCGATTGTGTGCTCCTTAGTCCGTTCACAATGTCCTTGGTCTTGCCAAAGTAGATCTCGTTCAGGGTGTTCCTGATCTTGTTCTCCATCTCCTCGACCATCTTGCCAATGTTGGCGATGTGCGGCGACGACTCACTGACATTGGCGTCCTGCTCCTGTTGGCGGGTGAGCGATCCGCCCAGATTCATGGTACCCGAACCCTGTTTGTTGGTCTGCAGCCACAGCATTGCCGTGGAGGTGAGCTTGTAGTGGGCCGTCCTGCCGGTGGTCTTCTCCTGAACCTCGACCACATGGATGGAGTCCCAGCAGCCGCGGATCATCTTGCTGCCATCTCCCGCCTTTTTGATCAGTATAACGGCGGCAAACCCGTGATCCAGATCCCATAGGTAGACGGAGGAGACGCCGCCCTCGTAGTACATCTCCCTGTACTGATCGAAGGCATAGTTGGCCTCGATTTCCAGTTTGCGCAGTCGTTCCGAGGGCATTTGGCCATCCTCCAGCGGCGGATAGTAGGAGTTCGACCAGGGCGATCTGTAGGAGTCACCATCCCGGTTATAGTCGCACAGCAGATAGTCCTTGCCGTGCTCCTTGTCCTTGGCGATCTTCAGAGGCTGGTCCACAGAGGAGAGCAGATCCTCGCAGAGATCCGGGGCCAAGTCTATCAGATCAATGAGGTTCTTCTCGATCTGCTGGGGCGGCAGCCTCCGCATCAGATCCAAAGCACAATCCATCTGCATTTCCGACTGAAAGATAAGAGATACCAGTCTTATTGAGTCACTGCAGCGATAAGAGAGCCCGAGAAACCCCTCCATTCACCACTGCCACCCGGCAAAAAGAGGATTACCATATATGGGCATTATTTGAGGCCACAGGCCGCCGCCCCTGTGCAGGTTCTCTCCGTGGATTAGGTGCCTCGGGAACCTTTGCCTTATGGCATGGGCGGTACCGTCCAAAATCACCGTTTGTTGGCCTGCTTTTTTCTTGTTACTATTGTAGTATTACTCACCATTTTGATACTTTCTGCTTTCCCTTGTTTCGATGGTTTCACACTGTGTATGTTGCAGGCCTGCGGTCGCTGGGCAAGGCCAATCTTAAACGCTAGCTAGGACTTTGGGCTTATATTGCAAGTGATTGCACTAAATTGACTCTTTTCTTTATTATTAGGTTTTTTATTTTTGCTATGGTAGTTGCTGCTAGAGCTGGAACACAGCCCGATTTTTATGCGATATCGATCATTTCGGAGAGGCATCGATTGATTGCTCATGCGGAGTATCGATTTCTTACCCGCAACTATCGACTGGAAGTATCGAACGAATGGCGGTTATTTTTAAATGAATATTCTTCATATGAAAGGATTAACTTTGGCACCCAATTCACGCGAAATAAAACCAGGTTAGTACTTTTATTATATTTTAGCAACAAGTTTATTGAATTTAGTTTCGTTCATATACTTTTATGCTTAATTCCATTCTGGTTGCCCATTTCCTCTCCGTGTCTTGTGAGTTTCTGTTACAATGCGTTTGGTTTGTGTGACTGTGGGTTTAGCTTACTCGTAGTTTTTAATATGTTACACAAAAATGTATGGCATAATCGAAAGTTTATCATTTTTCCGAGTTCGTGTTTAAAATATATTTAAGCTGCTTCGCTTGCGCACTCTTCAGATATACATACATACTTATTTAGAAATCATATGCGTGCTCCGAAAACGTATCCTTCTGAATCAATCCTTGGATTTCTTGATTTTTACATTAATGTTAGCCAAATACGTAGCGTGTGGGATTTTGCCTCGTTAGTAGTAGTAGTAGTTCAATAAACTTAATTAACCGCTTTGGTTTTAGACTGGCGCGTCAAAGGCGCTCTTTAGGTGTATACTTCGACCATATACAATAAATGTAAAATCTCAGACTTTAATTTTTAACTAAGGTGCACTACACACAGAAATCGTTCGGAGAAAGGTGAACTAAATCGAGGGTTCTTGTTCGCAGCTCTGGGTTTTTAGCCTGGGTAAAAACTGTTACAGGTGACTTGTAAAATTAGGGCAGGTTTCACTAATCTCGAATAACTTAGATAATTATAATTTGTATTTCTTAGTCGTTCTTTTGAAGTTTAATATTTCGGCTAATTAATATTTATTTACTTATGCTCTGTCGCATTCTAGACACTGTGCCAATATTCGAAATCAAAAGCGGTTTCAGGTTTAATAATAATACATAACTCCATATTCAATCAATCGTATTTCTCGTATTTCACGTTTCATCTTTTTTCTTTCGCTCAATAATTATGCAACACTTGCTTATCAACGCTTCGACAATCAAATGTAATCACAGTTTTATGTTTTCCTTCTTTATATAAACTCATTTTCATTTAGCTATTTATTTCACTATTTTCGCATATTCGCGTTGAGTATATGTGTGTGTTTCTGTGAGTGTGTTTGTTGTGGTTTGTTCTTCTTGACTCTTGACTTGTGTGGGTGGTAAAACTAAAAATACTTAGGGGTGGTAAGTACACGCCTAGTCCTCATGTGCTTCAAAAACTCACCTAACCTTCCATCAATCCTTAATCTTCAATCCTCGATCCTCGATCTCCAACCTATGTGTCCTTCCTTTCGGATCCATGCTTATGAACATCTCAACTCACTGATCCTTGCCATGATCGCATATTAGATTATTAATACTATTACGTATTTAGAAAACTTTAAGAATATTGCACAACTTGTGAAAATGCTGATTCTGACCGCCCTCTCCTTTCGTTATAAGTTTTTAAAAATATTTCATTTAATATTTAATACCTGAGTTGTTCATAATCGTTTCGCATGATTATTACATCCGTTTTTTCGGTTGCTTTCATTATTTTTTAATCGTAATACATATCGAAAAAAGTTTCTGTTTTGTTTTTGGTTTTTTTCATTTTTCTTTTTTTTGTTTGTATTAAATGCATGTATACATCGTCGTGAGTCTTGATAATGCCCTGAGTTTGCTCCAAACGGATTTGCGTTTTTTAAAACTATTTTTTGTTTTTCGTTTAACCTTATTCACGTAAAGTACTTCTCATTCCGAACTTCTTTCTCAAGTGGACCGTTGTCGTCTTTGAATTTAAGTGGTTTAAAATTTCGTTTTGGGTAATTCGAAAACTTTTCAGTTCAGAACAAAGAAAATCGAATAGTTCATCGTGGTAACTTTCATGTGTAACTCAAGTTCTGTTGCATTCTGGTTTCAAATAATTGGTCCAAAATAAAGGAATAACCAAGGGAATTAAGCTGTTTGGTAACTGAAATTTCAATCCTAAAAAGTCACACCAACTGTCCGTTTTTCGAACGACAGCCATCCTTAAAATTTTAACTTTATACTTTATGCCGAAAAATTTGTACGATTTCTTCTTGATCGATTCCTCGCCTCTATATATATTTAGTTAATTTTAATTTATCTGCTAAATTTTGTTTGTTTTTCCTGAAATTTTGTACTCGTCATTGTTCCAAAAGTTTTTGTAGTTCTCAAGTGTGACCTATACGCAATAAGAACGCAATTTGAATGGGATAACTAAAGCGAGGGTTCAAATAAAACAATCAAAACACACACATTAAATATAATTTGTACTTCCTTCGATCCATCGTGTTAGACAAATTTACAACAACTTGATTTACACATTGAGGGGAGACGTGGGAATGCTCTATATATGGGGTATATATACTATAGCGTACATACAACTAGCTTCATCAAGCATTTTCATCTTCAAATTTCGCATTGAACTGAACTGTAAAGTTGCTTAGGCCTAAACACATTGATTTTCATTAAATTACTTTCGATAGTCGTAAACTTTAGTATACATATTTCGTTACATTTATGTTTTTTGGGGGCAGTGGGGGGTTGGGGCATAATCAATCGAGTCCAAAATGCTGTCAGTACTGTGGGGATGGGAATTTAGAATTGTGTTTAATTTGGTTAACCAATAAAATTGCCAATTGGGAGTTGTTTGTGTTTTTTTTCTGGGGTTTAACATTTATTTAGTTGCATTTTGTTTTAGCATTTACGTGTTTATAGATTATAAATTTAGGTTTTATCGTATAATTGTTACAAATTAGAAAAATGTGTATAATGTAATGCGTAAACAAGCCAATTTGTTGCGATCGAACAGAACATCAAATCATACAAAATATATATTACAATTTCTGCCACTTAACTTAAACGGGGTTGGTGTGCATGCAGTTTTCCCTTTATTATTTTATAGTTATTTGAAATAACTTAGGTAAAGTAAGCATAGTAGTTTTTCTGGATGGGGATTGGGATTTAGGGAGTTGGTTCTGTTGAAGGGGTCACAAAATCATATCGAAGTGAAAAGTAATCGTAAGTACAATTGGCTTGTTGAGGGGCTTGGTTCTCGTGTTATTTTCTTCTTGACATTTCGCACTAAATATTAATAGAAAAACAATTACTAACAAAAATATATAACAAAAATTACATCGAGCTCTTACAAAATGTTCGGTGCACTAAATTTCACGTTAAATTGAACTTAAATTTTGTTTTGTACGTGTGCACACTATTATTTATATAGTTACATTTATTATATTTGTATTCTCGTTACAGCTTCAATTCTGTTTATGGATTTGCTTACTAATTAATTTATACAACTCAAGGTAAAGGTAACTAAAGTTTAATGAAAAATTACGAATATACAATACACAATTCTTCTTGTTTAATTTATTTTATGTACAATAATTGTGTGATTTCGTGACATTTCGTTCACGTTTCGTGTGCTTTACTGTACTGTACGCTCTAAATGCAAAATGGCGACATTTGTGTTTTTAGTTTTAGATTAAGTTAATTACGCTCTCTGGGATTTTCATTGCAAACATATTTTACAAAGAAATTATTTTACGCCGCTTGTCGAAAAGTTGGGCCTAAAATCTGATTACAGATAAAAGTATTTTTGCTTTATTCGTTTTTAAATAAATATTTATGTATAATTGATGCACGTACATAGAGTGTTGCCTGTGCCTAATATTTGTTATAATTTGTATTTTTCTTTAGCCAAAAGTTTAAGCCTAAAATGTTTGTTTTGTAAAGTTTGCTTATACACGCAAGTTTCTTTTAGAAAATGTTTATCTTCGTTTAGCAAAATGATTTTCTCATTTTTTGTTTTTTTTTTCATTAATTTTTATAACCGTGTTGGGTTGGCTTTGAATTTAATTTAATGTAATTTTATTTTGCTCAATTCTTGTATTTCGCCATTGGACTTGGCTCAAGCAAAAGTATACCATTTACTGGGATTGTTTCTTAATTTTTTTGTGGATTTTCATTCCTTTTTGGGGTAAATTTTGTAGCCTTAAATAATTTCTTTGTATTTTTGTTTACGGTTAGATTATAAAGAGTTACGTTTCTTTTCTCGTTTTCTCGTGTTTTTAGTTTGGTTTGCCTCATTCAGTTGCTTTGCCGAAATTGATGTATACAAATGATCTTAATCCTGGTCACATATCGCCTACATCGTCTGCTCTCTACACATACATAGTAAAAGTTGTGGATATTTTCGTATAATTAGGGTTTAGCCAAAGGTATATGCTCGTAGTTTTACATTAAATGTTTTGTTTTGTCTGAATTTCGTGGGCTCCGTGTGCTCAGCGCATATTTACATGAAAACGTCTATAAGAAAATCAGTAAGGGGCTTTCCACCGATTTATTCTCCTCCTATACCAAAGGTTCCTCACTGTGTGGATCTGAGTGTCTGAATGTCTGGGGATCTGTATCTGTATCTGTATGTGTCACCATTTCACAAAAAGAATAAAACAAGTGGTAATGAAAGTATATGTTGTATCATGCTCATCTCGTCACTGCGCAGTCTATGGCTAATTGAGGTAGTTCAGTTTACTATTGCAGTTCGATCTGGTTTTGGTTTCCCTTATTATTGCTATTGTGTGTTCATGTGTTCATGTATTCATGTGTGATTGTGTCTTTTGCATTTAAAATTAGGCCTCACTAAACATAGGTGCCACTTAGCCACTAGCTAACCGATAATCGAACTAAGAACTAAAGCTTTCTTGATAGCATCTTCGATTACAGCGAAACATTCATTGGTTTCTCCTCTCGTCCTCTGTTTGTTTGTTTGTCCCATGCAAACCGAAAAATATAATATAGTAATGTAGTTAAAACGTAGTAATAAAAATAATAATAAAATTAGTTCAAACAAGTTGAAAAACACAAAGAGGTAGGTTCTTTCCTGAGGTATATGAGTTCCTGAGTTTGATTAGAC